ACAGTTCATTTTCCCTCTCTGCCCTGCTGGAGAGTCCCATCCACCCTGTGACCATGTTGCATTTCTGGGAGCAGATTTGGCCCTTCCTGACCCTTTTCCAAGGGGCCCAAGGTCCCACAGCTGATTGCAGAGCTGTGGGGCTCTTTCAGAAGGAGCAGCATTTCTTTGATACCAGTTTTCCCTGGAATTAACCCTTTCAGTGGCACTCCTTTAAAAACAGCCCTTGCCACCACACAGATTTCCTTTCCCACCACTGCCTCAGGCTGGGTGCTCCAAATCCCAGCCAGACCCTGGACATTTCTCAGGAGGAAAATCAAGCTGCAGCAAAGCTGCTGAGCAGGGAAAAGCTAACAGAGGGCAGATCTCCCCTTTGCAGTTTGCTTTAAGGTGTTTGACATCACATCCATTGACAGCTCATCCCGAGCCATGCAAGCAGGGAGGGTCCTTGGATGCTCTAACCCTACCCAGGGGTTTTTCCTTCCCCACCGTTTCTTTGTGTGGATCTCACTGGGTGGACCAGTACCTCAGGCTAGTGGCAAAGATGGACAAAGCACCAGGAGCAAGGTGCCCCCTGCCCCGGGTGTTTTGGGGTGCAGGGTTGGGGTCAGCAGTGTTTTCCTGCTTCTGCTGTGTCTCACAGCCCTGCAGCCCCTCGCAGGCTGGGCAGAAGATCCTGATTGCCAAAGTCACCAGCAGCACCTCTGGGAAAGCCCAGCACGGTGTCCACAGGCTCTGTGGGACTTCTTTATCCCACAGGTGGAAAGACCTGAGATCCTTTTAGGGCTGCAGCAGTGGGAATGCAGCCAAGGAACACAAACAGAAGCCTGTGCCATTCTCCTGCCCTTCTGGTTGTTCCAGGGACAGGGACCAGTGGGGATGGAGCTGGCAGGCAGTGGGGAAGGGGGTGCAATTTGGTTTCTTCACCTTTCCAAGGGTTCAGGTGCTCCCAGATGTCTCAGTAGCTGCAGGGCAGCAGCACCACATCAGAGAAATGTGGGCTTGGTGCCCATGGGGGAAAAGGGCAATTCATAGAATCACCAGAGACTCGTTTGGGTTAGAAGGGTCATCTAACCCAAAAGATCATCCCATCCCACTCCCTGCCGTGGACAGGGACACCTCCCACTGTCCCAGGCTGTTCCCAGCCCCAATGTCCAACCTGGCCTTGGGCACTGCCAGGGATCCAGGGGCAGCCACAGCTGCTCTGGGCACCCTGTGCCAGCCCTGCCCACCCTCACAGGGAATAATTTCTTCCTAATAACCAATCTAAACCTGCCTTCTTTCAGCTTAAAGCCATCACCCCTTGTCCTATCTGCCACTCCCTGCCATTGTCAAAGGTGAGACTGCCCTGAGCAGAACCCTGCAGAACCAGCTGCAGAGCACAGAGAGATCCAGCCCAGTGCATCCTTCCAGATGGCATCAGGCACCCCCAGACAAATGTCTAAGAGCTGGGGATTGTTGGTCTCCTCCCATTACCTCCCCCCAGCTGATGGCAGTCGGGTTTGGGGGCTTCCCACTGCTGAAGGGGCACTGGGATTCTGATGCTTCATTGCCACCCCTTTATGTCAGCCACCACGAATTTGGCCAGTCTGTTTCTAAACCGTTTACACTTTTGTCTTTTGCAGCATCAGGTAAATTGGCAAAAATTCCTGGCAAATCCACTGTGGAGTTATCTGCCTGCTCAGCAAATGCCACATTTATTGTCAGCAGTGATTCCCTTCATCTTCACATCCTTCAGGATGCATGAGAGCTCTTTCATACTCCTCAGCTTGCTTATTCCCCAGCCTGAATGCCCCAAATTCTTGGAGTTTCAGACAGAAACCCTCAGCAAAGGTTTGACTTCTCTTTGCTCAGCCTCTGTGTAACGTGGTTGCAAAGGGAATTGTTTCAGGAAGGGCCATTCCTTGCTCTCTCATTTGTAACATAACAGCCTGGGGTTTGGTTATTATTGCTGTTTTTAGCTGCTGTTGGCTTCCCATTGTTGCTTTTTTGATAGATGAGTTCAATTTTGCTGGCATATTGCACAGGTTTGCAAGCCAGATGTTGCTGCTGCAGGATGGGAGCAGTTCACCCCACACAGGGGTCAGAGCCAAGGGCTCAGGGTGCCATGGGAACTGCTGGTGGCATGGTGCTGAACCTCACCCCCATCCATCCCCACTCCCCCTGGCAGGGACAGGACCCTGGGAAGATCAGGGACACTGCTGAGAGCCTGGCAGGCAGGATGGATTTGTGTGTCACCAAATGGTGGGAACCTGGTTTTTGTGGGTGCTCCTGCCTGGGTGTGGTGTAGGAGTGGTGTGGGATGGGTGGGATGTGGGGTGGCATCAAAGTGGGATGAGGAGGAGGGAGAGGAGCTGGGAGTCAGCTGTCCTGTGGCTCCTGCACTTTCCTGGTGTGCCTGGTTTAACATGAAGGAGCTCAGGGTATCCAGCCACCAAACCCTGTGGATCTTTAGCAAATCTCACCCAATCCTGGCCCAGGAGGGCTCTGAACTCCCATGGAGCAGGGTGGACCCTGGCCCAAGCCCCCAGCCCCTTCCCACTTCACTCAGGAGAGCTTCCCAGAGTATTGGTGTGTGGGATGTCTGTGGGTGAAAGAAGGAAATTGCTGAGGTCAGGGGGCTGATGTTGTGCATTTTTATGTGGCATCAACTTGCTGCCTCATTGGAAACACCAAAAAATAAAGTCTTGCATCCTGGCCCTTGAAAATTCCTCTGTCCTACAGGAAGGGAGTGTTGTTACTGCAGGAATTCACTGTTATTCCAGGGAATTGAAGCCTCTGTGTGGGAAACCCCAATGTGGGCAGGGAGGGATTTAAAGGGAGAGGGCATTAGGGTGGTTGAGATGTGCTGTGTTCCTACCACTGCAAGGATCTGGTGGGATCCCACCCAGAGGGCAGGGCTTGAACAGGCAAAATGGATTCAGGTCCAATTCCAGGTAAATGGGGAAAAAAAAAAAAAAAAGGAAGTGGGAAATCAAGGGTGAGTTCAGGTGTGTGCAGAGTCAGAGCATGAGGGGCCTCCTGACAATAAAGGAGGGAAGGGCTGGGGCAGGGGCAGGAGGCTCAGGAACATCCTGAGCCTGGCCTTGATCCCCTGGACACCCCCAGAGCACTGCCCACATCCAGGGGATTCTGGCACTGTGGAGAGAGCAGAAACCATCTCTGAAAAGGCAACTCCCAAGATAGGGCCCCATGGAAGATGATACCCTAGATAAGAAATTGTTTGCTTAGAGTGACCAATACCAAGAAGCATCTCACCCCCCTGCAGACCCCTGTGTTATCTTTCTGTGATTTTAGTGGTCCATTTTCCTCTTAGATAATTGGTTCCTCTTTCCCCTAAAGTCTTTTGTGGATTGGTTAGTTGTAGAATTCCTTTGTTAATTGGTGCAAAACACAAAACACTTAAACCTTATAAAACTCCCCTTAGAACCCCACCCATTGGATTTGCTGGGCTGGACCCCCTTCATAGAAGAAATTAAGATTCTGTGGGATCTCCTGAAAGGCATTTCTCTATCTCTTTCTCTGCTGGCTCAGAAGGTGCCTTGTGAGCCTGATTTCAATCCGGGCAAGGCTTGCAAGGTACCTTGTTGCTGAGAAGTGCCTGGGAGCAGGCAGCTTCGGGGTCTCACAGAGGCCCCTCTCACCGGTGAAATAAACACCACACAGACTTTCTAGGAAAGTCAGCTGGCTTTTATTTAAAAAGCATTGGAGCCCAAGGTAAGCTTGAGCCCCGCTCGGCAAGCCAGACAGGATAAAATACAAACAAAAACAACCGTGCCCAGCGGATAAAATACAAACAAAAACAACCGTGCCCACTGCACAAGGGGTTTCCTCTGGTTCGAGTTCCTCAGAAAGGCCTCCAGGCTGAGCGGTCGGGGGTCTTTGTACCCCTTGCTCTTCTCTGATTGGTGCGTGCGTCCCCGATTCTCCTTCTGATTGGTTCCCTTCTCTGTCCCCGATTGGTTCTCACGGAGGCACAATCTGGACCAATCATTTCCTGATTGGCTGTTCCCACTGGTGGACACATTGTCCAATCAAAGTTCAAGCCGCTGGCTTCACACCATGACATAATGTTCCAGTCACACCATGACGTAATGTTCCAGAACATTCCAAGCACCCTTCACCCGCGGCCATTTTAGGCACCTCCTGATTATTTATAACGATTGACTAACAACTTACAACTTCTGACAATTAACTATTTTTATAAATGAGAGACAAAAGTCTCGATATTCAGCAAAATTTAGATTGTTTTATTTGATATAGAAAGAGCAAACAGAGCTGGGGAACGTGAGGGGTCACCGCCCACTCCACGCTCCACCCAACCTTGGTTTGCAGCCTCTTCTTATACTGTGGGTTCTCGGTGTAATCAATAATTTTGGGGGTTTTGTTGTCATAAGCAGTGGTGGTTGAATAAACATCCTTACACAAATTCACAAAGCCTTTGGATGATAATCAGTCACAGCCATCTGGGCCTTGTAGATAACCACCAGAGAAGTTCTGGGAGTCTGGTTTTTGGGATAGGCAGCATTGATCAGACAAAGGCAGGAAGGGCTTTTTGGGAAGTCTGATTGTGCAAGCTGGTAGCCAATACAACTTATTTGGAAAACATAACATAACAGAATATAATGTAATATAATATAACATAATATAACATAACAAGGTGATTTTAAACAGAATTATTTTATCATATAATTTCCATTATCTAGTGTCCATGCTTCACTTCAGAGCTTAGTATTCTGGTTTATACAAACCCCAATGCTTTTGTAATTAACACGAATCTTTTATCAATTATCACAACTTAAAACACAACTGATCAACAATACAACGTTAAATAACATTATTACATCACTTAACAGCCCCAACTCCTCTCCCAAACACTGACCCATTTATAACGGTTACCAATTAACGCTTATCGATTAATTATCCCCAACACCTCCCCCAAACCTTTCCTCATTTATAACACCAGCAGCAGGCACTAACGTGTCCCTCATTGCCCTTGGCAGGGACCTGATGCCCAGGACACTGGAGGGACAGATCACCATGGAGAAGACCCCCAGCTACTTTGTCACCAAGGAGGCCCCAGCCCGCATCTCCTCCATGTCCAAGGGCACCAAGCTGATCGTGGTGGTGCGGGACCCCGTGACCAGAGCCATCTCAGACTACACCCAGACGCTCTCCAAGAAGCCTGACATCCCCACCTTCGAGAGCCTGACCTTCAAAAACAGGACTACAGGCCTGATCGACACCTCGTGGAGCGCCATCCAGATTGGCATCTACGCCAAGCACCTGGAGAACTGGCTCCTCTACTTCCCCATCGGGCAGATCCTCTTTGTCAGCGGGGAGAGGCTGATCACTGATCCTGCAGGGGAGCTGGGCAGGGTCCAGGACTTTCTGGGCCTCAAAAGGATCATCACTGACAAACACTTCTACTTTAACAAAACCAAGGGCTTCCCGTGCCTGAAGAAGGCAGAGGGCAGCAGCAAACCCCACTGCCTGGGGAAGACGAAAGGCAGGACCCACCCTGACATCGACCAGGAGGTGGTGCAGAGGCTGCGGGACTTCTACCGGCCCTTCAACATGAAGTTCTACCAGATGACAGGCCAGGACTTCGGCTGGGACTGAGGCTGAAAGAAATAATTTAAGAAAAGGAAAATATAATATAATATATATATTTTTTTTACGTATCAGTAGAGAGGGGGAAAATACAGAAAAAAAAATAATAGCTGTGCTGAAACATGATTTTCTCTGATTTGTTTTTTTTTCTTTTTTCCTTTCTTCTCTCAGACAAGAGGTGCTGTGTACATCCTGAAAAGGAGGCTGTGAACAGCAGCCTGGTCCTACTGATATGAGCAGCTTCCCTCAATGGGCCCAAGCTTTAGCACTGCCTCTGTAAAAAAACACAGGTGCAAAGTTTTTAGAAGTGACAGGGGTGCTTGGGGTAGCTCAGAGTCTTCCTGAAAGTTCAGCCAGGTTTTGGCTTGCAAGTGCCATTTTGGCCAGACCTCACCACTTTTGACAATAAAACAAAGGTGGCTTAGTACCTAATTTGGCTTTTCAAACGTTACCTTAGGGGATATTTTTATTGCATGAAACATTTGGTGAATTTTGCTTCCACTTATCCAATTTTTTGTTTTACTTTTACCCGCCTTAAATCAAGCTCTTTTCATCAGCCAAACTTATTTTTCCTCTTAAGGCAGCCAAAACCAATAATCCTTTGTTTTGCTTTGAGACAAAATAATTTTGGTAGCCAAAAGTGAAAGAACACAAATGATTCTTTTGACTCTATAATGAAAATTGCCAGGTAGTCAAAAGGCCTCATTCACAGAAGCTGGCTCTAAACCAGAGTTCCTTGTTGCATCTCCTTTGCTACTCTGACACCAAAATAGTTTTCTAAGGGCTTTTTTCCTCAGAGGGCCCATCTGAAGGGATTTTGGGGATGGGAACTCCACACTGAGATGATGCTCATGGGGCACCCTGAAGGTGTTGGGGGGATCCACCCTCCCTCCAGGCATGTGCAGGAAACTTCTTGGTGTGCAGTGGGCATGGTTTGAGCCATAATGATGAATGGTTTAAGTTGGGCCAGTCTTAAATAGACTGGGGGAAGGGTTGGTTGTGAAAGAGTGAGCAATAATCATGTCCAGAAAGAGGAATGAGAAAACAATAATTCTTTTCTAAAGGAGAACTCAGGAGGAAGCTGGAAGGTTGTGAAGGGCTTTAAAAACTGTCAGGCCAAACAAATCTCCTTTACCACTCTTTTTTTAGCTGGTGGAAATGTTTCTGTGACTAAAATCTGTTAGTGAAGCAGAGTCTTTTATTACCATGGGCTCATTTATCTGCTGGCTCTTGATCTTCAGCATCTCTGAGCTGTGGGAGTACCCAGTTATAGCTTGGTGCTGCATTAACAACGTGGTAGTGCTCCCTCTCCTGAGCACAACTTTGAAGAGTTCCTGAGGGGTTAAAACTAAGTGGGCATCCCCCAGGAACGTGGTGAGGAAGAAGCCTGGGGATGAAGTTCACTGGCTGCCTGCATACCAGCCAAGATCTTCATAAAATCCCAGCAGAGCAGAGATTTTAGAGTCCAAAGAGAATTGTATCCAAGTTACAATTTCTCCTGAGAGGGAGGCATTTCCACCTTGGCAAGTCAGGAAAGGAGTTTGGTGACCCACTCAGCCTCATGGCACTGAGTTCCTCTGCTCTTGTTGAGCCACATCTCCTGGCTGCCCTAAACCTCCTTTCTACTCAACCCTCCACACCTCCTTCTGTCCCCAGAGATGCTGAGTCCTGGAACCTTCCTATCCCCTGAAGACACAAACCCACAGGGTTTTGGATGCCAGGCCCATTTCCCAAGGGAATGGAAATATCTTCATTCAACTCATGATGCCCCAGGAGCTTCTCCCACAGCAGTCATTGCAAAGCTCTACCTGAGCCCAGCTTTCCATGCCCCAGCTGTAGAGAAGTGCTGATGGGTTGGTGGCACCAAAGCCAGCCTGAGCTCAGCTCCCTGTCCTGGTGTGGCACAGCTCAGTGCCACGTTCACGACCTCCACTGATTTCACCCCTTCCCCCATTTGTGTCCCATTTTAAGGCCTTTTTTGGCAATGTCCCAAGCCACATCTGCATAAACACTTTACCTTACAGCAGAAAGGAGGCACCACACAGAGCCCCAGCAGTCCCTTCTCTTGCCTGCTCACCTCAGCCCCTCGATATTCATGCAAGACACGACATGAGAAGGTCAGAGATGGTCACAGAGCTTTGGCTCCACGAGACCATGGTCCCTCCCAGCATCTGCAGTTCACATCAGAAGCTGGGAGAACCTTGGGCTTTTGGTAATGGCCTCTTCAGTGTGTCACAGGAGGTGAGGAGAGAAATCTTTTTGGGGAGGGAGTGAGGGATGGACACTCTCCCATGCTGTGCTCTTCCATTCAAATGGAAAAAACAAGGTGGTAGCAAGAATGAGGCATCAGTCACTCACAGACATAACCAAACAGTGCCAGCACCAGCAAAGCACAAAATCTGAGCTCTTCCCAGCTGACAAGAAGATTTAAGTGTGCCATTTCTTTGGTAGTTCAAGGAGAACTTAGGTTGGGATAATATAGACATGCCTTTGACAAATTATGGTGGTTTAAGCCCAGCTGGGATCTCGGCCCCACTCACTCACTCACTCCCCAGGTGGGATGGGGGAGAGAATTGGAAGAGCAAATCTAAGGTGACCTGTGGGTTGAGGTAAAGACAGTTTAATAGGTAATGCAAAAGCTACACACACAAGCAAAGCAAACCAAGAAATTAATTCCAGACTTCTCAGATACTCATCCCCAGGACAGCAAGGCTCCCTCACATTTGGAATGGTGACTGAGAGGACAAACATCATCACTCCAAAAATTTCCTGCTTCCTTCTTCCCCCACTTTTATATGCTGAGCATGATGCCACATGCTCTGGAATATCCCTTGCATCAGTTGGGGTCAGCTGTCCTGGCTGTGTCCCCTCCCAGCTCCTTGTGCATCCCCAGCCTCCTCACTGCAGGAGCAGGAAAAGCCTTGATGTTGTGTAAGAACTGCTCAGCCACAATAAAAACATCCCTGGGTTATCAATACTGTTCCCAGCACAAATCCAAACCACAGTCCTATGAACAAAATGAACTCTACCCCAGCCAAATCCAGCAGACAGGTATAAATGCCCCTTACAAGTATGATGTTTAAAAAAAAATCAATATAGTTCTATTGCTATTTTCTCCTATACAGTCACATTTAGACCACTATAAAGCAGCTTTATAGGCCCACAGGCTGGTCTGCCCATACTGCACAAGCTACAGCAATACCAAGCATTTCCTAGAGCTCAGTGTCTGCACCTGCCACCAAATCCCTGCCATTAAATGAGAGCCTTGGTGTGTACACAAGCCCATCACATGTGCCTTGAAAAACTCTTCCCAGCACATCAAGCTCAGCCACTTAGGAATACTTTCCACTAAAAACTTCAATGTTTTATTCCCCCTCATTTCCAAGGGTTTGAATACCTTGTTGCACACCTTGTAAAGCTATTTAGGGATCTGAGACTGTGATTGATTGGTTTTGATCTGGGCCATAAGTAGTTTTGAAAATCCCTCCACATGTGAACAATGGCTTTTAAAAAGAGGTCATGCAACCGAATTGCTTTGAACTCTAATAGCATTTAAGCCTCTAAACTCTTCAGGCTTATTTGAAAATCCAGCCATGAAGTTTAGATTATTTTAACCTAAGAAGAATTGGAGGTAAACTATTGAAAACCGCATCCCTCCTGGGCCTGCAGTGCTGAGCACATTGGAGGGGAAATCAAAAATAGCTATAAATAAAAAAGTGACCTGTATAGTGTTTTTATTTAAAAAAAAAAAAACAGAAAAATCAAAGCATTAACTATGAGAAAATAGTTAGCTTATTAAAATGCTTCTGGTCTCAATAATCAAATCTGCCATTAGGCACTGATGAAGCTTAGGCTTATATGCAATGCACATTTGGATTATAGAACAAATCCAAATTTTGGGTCTGTTTTAAGAAAAAAACCCAAAAACCACACCAACCTTTACAAGGCATCCTATCAGCATCAAGTCCCAAACTGATCACAAGGAAGTTTTGTACAATGAGGGTGGTGAGGCCCAGAGTGGTGCTGGATTCCCCATCCCTGGAAGTGTCCAAGGCCAGATGGGACTTGCTGGAATCTGGGGTGGTGGAAGGGAATGGAATGAGATGAGTTTTAGTGTCCCTTCCAATCCAAACCATTCCATGGTTCCATGATCCTGGCGGAGACAGACACAGCCACAAATGGCACCACAGTGTGGGCTCAGGTGTGCTGAGCACAAGGATTGCCCCAAAGTCCTCAGAAATCATTTTTTCCCCACTGCTGCTGCCATGCTTTGGCACAGGCTCGTAGAGCCCAGTTCAGGAAGGTCACTGAAGGTGAGACCTCCCTGTAACCACTGCAGAGCAGCTTCAGCCAAACCTGGAGTGTGGGGATGCCCTTTGCTCTCTGTCTCAACTGAAAAATCCAGATATGGGGTTTTCTTTAGCAGTGCAGTTTGGCAAGGCAATGCCAGGTCTGTGCTGCTGGGAAATCCATCCCTGCCATTCCTGGAAGGACAAGGATGGGGCTGCTGTGCCCATGGCACCCTTGGTGCTGATTTTGTGCCATGGGGAATTTTATCAGCTCCTGTGGAAATGCTGCCACTCAATGATGTGCACAGTTAAAAGGAGTTTATGGAGATCAGTGTGTGACACTCCTGCCTGATGTCAGGGTGGCCTCTGGGTGCAGCACGAAGTCAAATTTCCAGCAATAATTTGGCCTTTCCTACCCTGAACAGAGTGGTTTTAACTTGCACTGATTCTCAGTTCTCCCACATACACACTTCACACACAGCATCAAGTCTCCAGATGAAGGGGGAAAATTGCCCATTTTCCTAACCATTAAAAAATTCCTTGATTGTGTGCAGCAGTTTCTGGGTTTTCTCTCCTCCCTCCCCTTCACTTGGTCATACTGTCATCCTTCTCCCTTTGGTGCTATTTCAGTATGAAAAAAACTGATTTTAATTTAATTTAAGAATGAAAAAGCACACATTTAATAAAGTTTACGGGTACTGAGAGGCTGTGCTCTCTTTTTGCTGGTGGCAGCAAGCTGGAAAGAGGGGGCAGGTTTATGAAAAAAAG